CATTAAACGGCCCGAAAGTGTCCCGCATGTGCACTGGAGACACGACGACGTCAACCGCAGCGAGCGTGCTCTGTGTTTACGGAAGTTGTCCAAACATGGACGCGAGCATTGAGCACCTGGAGATTTTAAAGTTCCTCTCGTACCGGAGCCAGAACATGAACAACTTACTTGTTTTAAGGAGGAGATTGAGAAGGAGAAGGACGAGGTTTTTGGCCGTGGCGTTTCGTGGGGCAGCGGCAGCGACGTCTGTTGAAAGGAACGTGTGGATGAGGAGACGCAACCTTAAACCTTCAGAAAACGCTCTTGTGGTCCTCACCACTTTTCTTATACAGCAACCAGAAAATCATGATATCAGTTGGTTGAATAAAAACACAAATAAACAACAAGTAAATGGTTTTGTTTCCATTCTGTACCGAAAATGAACCGAACCGTGACCTCGAAACCGAAGTACACACCGAACCATGGTGTTTGCGTGCGGTTATTAGTCTGCCAATATTTCACGTTGCATATATCTATTCTATTATCATTTCTTTGCACTTGGGAATAGCAGAATTTTCCCTCTTACACCCCTTTAAAGGCTCGGATAACACTGTTCATTTCTTCGTCTATTTCAGTACAGCAGCTGTATCTCTCCCCTGTCATTTTCCCCATCCCCTTTTCCATTTTAATTTCCCATTGAGTCCCTCCATCCTCTCCTCACCTCCTCCATCTTGTTTCCTTTCCTCCCTCCCTCCCTCTCTCCATCTATCCATTTCCTTCACCGCTCTCTCTCTCTCTCTCTCTCTCCCCCTCCCTCCTCCTTCTTCCTCGCTCTCTCCATCAGGTGCTGTATAATGCAGGCTCCCCCGATGTGCTCCCTGGCTGCCTCAATCCGCCATTTTGATTCAGTACAGCTGTCCATGATAATGTACTGTTCGCTCAATCACTCTTTCGCTCCTCTCCGGCATCCTTCCTGTCTCGCTCTCTCTCTTTTTCTCTCTTTCTCCTTTTCTCTCCATCTCTCTCTTTTCTCACATTTACACATCTGTGCACAGACAGACATGGCACCGCTGATGTATTTTTCACCCCAGATTTGGTATTTGTAAAAGGTTGCAACAGAAAGACTCATTAATCTGAAAGAGAAGTGTTTGGCGGTTGGTACTTATTAGACGAGAACTAGACCAGGACTAAACCCGGACTAGTTTGCGGGACTAAATTATAGAAGTAGACCAGCGCTAACGCATTAACCCGCCTCTTTAACCTCGCTTAATTAAACCAGGGCTCGACTGTGCTGAAAATAAAACCCAACCAGGATCAAACCAGGACTCAAGATGGATTTAAACAGGATTTTAGAACTAAACCAAGATTAAACCAGGGCTTGATTACAGGACTAGACTAGGACTAAACCAGGACTAAACCAGGACTAGATTATAGACCCAGACCAGGACAAGACCAGGACTAAATCTTTAACTCTTAATTAAACCAGGGCTAGACTATGTTTGCCTTAAAACCAAACCAGGATCAAACCAGGACTCAATATGGATTTAAACAGGATTTCAGACTAAACCAGGACTAAACCTGGACCAGTTTGCAGGTCTAAACCAGGACTAAACCAAGATTAAACCAGGACTTGATAACAGGACTTGATTACAGGTCTAGACTAGGACTAAACCAGGACTAAACCTGGACTAGTTTGCAGGTCTTAACCAGGACTAGTTTATAGGACTAAACCAGGATCAGATTATAGACCCAGACCAGCACTAAACCAGTACTAAACCAGAAAGCATTAACCTCCCTTTAACCTCTGTTAAATTAATTAAACCAGAGCTAGACCGTGTTTGATTTAAAACCAAACCAGGACTCAAGATGGATTTAAACAAGATTTCAGACTAAACCAGGACTAAACCAAGATTAAACCAGGACTTGATTACAAGACTTGATTACAGGACTAGACTAGAACTAAACCAGGACTAAACCTGGACTAGTTTGCAGGTCTAAACCAGGATTTGTTTGCAGGACTAAACCAGGTCTAAATTATAGACCTAGACCAGGACAAGACCAGGACTAAAGCATTGACCCTCCGCTTTAACCTCTCTTAATTAAACCAGGGCTAGACTGTGTTTGACTTAAAACCAAACCAGGACCAAACCAGGACTCAAGATGGATTTAAACTTGATTTGATCTGGACTAAACCAGGTCTAAACTCATAAGAGACTAGACTAGACTAGTCCAAGAGGAAAGCCAAGACTAATACAGATATAGAGTATAAAAGAGTAAAAAAGTAAAATAAAACTGGGACTAAACCAAGATTAAGACTAGATGTAAACTTGGATTTGAGAAGGACTAAACCAGGACTAAACCAGGACTAAAGCATTAACCTTTCTCTTTAACCTCTGTTAATTAAACCAGGACTAGACTGTGTTTGACTTAAAACCAAACTGGAACCAAACCAGGACTCAAACTAGATTCAAACATGATCTGATCTGGACTACACCAGGTCTAAACTCATAAGTAACTAATCATAGATATAGAGTATAAGAGGAAAATAAAACCAGGATTAGGACTAGATGATGAAACTTGGATTTGAGAAGAACTAAACCAAAAGTAAACCAGGACTAAAACTAACCTAAACCAGGACTAGATTCAAACTTAGGAAGAACTAAACCATTACCAGACTTGGAGCGATCAGAGGGGACTAAACACATTCTAAGACAGGACTAAACCAGGACTAATCCAGGACCAAATCAGGACTAAACCAGGACTAAAACTAACCTAAACCAGGACTAGATTCAAACTTAAGAAGTACTAAACGATTACCAGACTTGGAGCAATCAGAGGGGACTAAAGACATTCTAAACCAGGACTAAACCAGGACCAAATCAGGACTAAACCAGGACTAAACCAGCACCAAATCAGGACTTAACCAGGACCAAATCAGGACTTAACCAGGACTAAACCAGGACCAAATCAGGACTTAACCAGGACTAAACCAGGACCAAATCAGGACTAAACCAGGACTAAACCAGGACTAAATCAGGACTAAAACTAACCTAAACCAGGACTAGATTCAAACTTAAGAAGAACTAAACCATTACCAGACTTGGAGCAATCAGAGGGGACTAAAGACATTCTAAACCAGGACTAAACCAGGACCAAATCGGGACTTAACCAGGACCAAATCAGGACTAAACCAGGACTAAACCAGGACTAAAACTAACCTAAACCAGGACTAGATTCAAACTTAGGAAGAACTAAACCATTACCAGACTTGGAGCGATCAGAGGGACTAAACACCTTCTAAACCAGGACTAAACCAGATCTAAACCAGGATTCAGCGATGATCTGAAAGAGAAAATGTACTTTCTTTGATTAGCAGCTGGTCCCTGTGGTAGCCGGCACGCATCACTTATTCTCTCTCCTCTTTCTCTCCTTCTCTCTCTCCATCTCTCCATAGACGGCTGTATTCATTAGACTGGTTCGTTAATGATAGACTTCAAGGTCCACTGCCAATCACTGTCGATCTGTTTTATCCCGCAGCCTCCATCTTTAACATCCAGCTTGTTTATTTTCTTCTTCTGCTGGTTATTGCTATAGAGCCACAGAATGTAAACACATGCCTTAGGGTTTCAAACAAGCTGTACACTGTTAACTTCAAAGTCCTTATCGCTCACTGTCGTCATTTTTCTTCTGGTCTGAATGTTTTTTGACGAATGTAGAACGTTAAGGGAGGGACGGAAAATAATCTTTGTCCAGTATTGCGTGCGTGGACGGTGATTGGTTGGAAAATAAACAAACAAATAAACAAAAACAATGGCAGAAGTGTCCAGAAATGTGAGGTTAAAAGTGCAATTTGTAACTTTCCTAGTGAAGTGTTTGTGTCCATGGAGATGTCTTTGTTTAGCCTGGAATTTTCTACAACGGGACATTAAATTTTAGCCAGGCTGGCGCCACCTAGTGCTTCCAATCAATTTAATTTCTCTCCAGCGACTAGGTCAGGAATCGGAATACACTAGATGGTTCGCAAAATCCCCGGAAGTGCGAGTTCGAGCACCAGCCAATCAGCGAAGAGTCAGACTTTCTGTGTTGGCAACAATTCCTGAGATCGAGGATTTAAAGCCGGAACAAAGAGAATGTTTGGTGAATTTTATCAAGGGGAAAGACGTTATTGCTCTTCTTCCTATGGGATTTGGGAAAAGCTTAATATGCCAGTTTGTCCTGTTAGCAGCGCATTACATACGTCACGACCAAATAGCAGCGATTGGTTAAATTCAAAAAGTACCTGCCTACCGTTGAGCGAACGAATCCTAATGCTGCGAGGTCAGACTGTTTCCACAAAGTGAAACCGGCTCATGAATCAGGCCAGTTAATACACATATCCAAAAACATATCCCTTTCCAAAGAAGTAACCAAGTGACGCTACAAGACCAAGTTAGAGATCAGATTTGTGGAGAGGCAACTATACTGACAATTTTAAGACTTTTTTGAGCAATAAAATACCTGTAATACACTTGATGTAAGACAGATACTAAGACCTGATACTCAATACAGATTCTAGAGATGTAACGATATCCAAGTCTCTCGGTACGATATTATCACGATATTTTGGAAAAGATAATATAATTGTGGACAGGACAATTTTTTGCTTTTAAAATACCTTGACAAGATTTTGGTGTGAATTATTTCCGCCATAATCCCAAGAATTCAAGTAAAAAACATATTTCTTAATATGTCTGCACTGAAATGCATCATGGGAAATGTAGTTTATGATGTTCATAAACTCTTGCTACTGTAAAACCATGCATTTAAGCAAAGGAACTTGTAATTTGATATATTATGATGGTCCACGATATTATTGTGAGACTTTTGACGATACAGTATCATAATATTTTGTTTTTTGTTACATCCTTAGTAATTTCTTTTATCCACCTGTTCTTATATCAGTGTAATCCCTCGTATACTAGTCAATTTGCTCTTATACTTGTTCTGATACAGCTCAAGATCATTCTAAAGCTTCAGGAAAGGTTCATTTCTGTCCTGTGAATGTGACCTTTTTAGTATTGATACTTCCTCCAACAAGTTTCTAGTTTCAATACTCTTTTTAGCGTCGATTAGTATCTGATTTTCTATACTTTTGACAAACCTAGAGTGTAGGGATGTAACAATAACCGAAATATCGTGATATCGTATCGTCAAAAGTCTCACAATAATATCGAGGACTGTCACAATATATCAAATTACAAGTCTCTTTGTTTAAATGCATTGTTTTATAGTGGCAATAGTTAATAAACATCAGAAACTACGTATCCCATGATTCATTTCAGTGCAGACAACGTGAAGAAATATGTTTTTACTTGAATTCTTGGGATTATGACAGAAATAATTCACACCAAAATCTTGTCAAGGTATTTTAGAAGCATAAAAGTGTCATATCTACAATTATATCAGCCTCTTCAAAATATCGTACCGTAAGATTCATTTCATGATAATATCGTACAGTGAGATTTGTGATTGTAATTCCCATGTATCGGCTGTTGTATTGGCGTGCGTCGGCTGCTGTCTCCTCCGTGCCCGGCTGTTCGTGGCAGTGATGGACAGCGCTCTCCGCAGGATGGAGTGTGACGTGCGGCGTTTATGTCAGAGCCTGTTTACTCTGAACTAATACAGACTCGCTCCATTAATCCAGCTACAGCTAACCCTCTGCGTCCTGCCCATCTGCTCCGTATGTCTGCAGTACACAGATACATACGTACTAACGAGTCACAATTAATTTGGAGTGCAAGACTTTAATGTATTGAAGCTTGTCTGCGCTTGGTTTAACTCTTTCATTACCCGTACATACATGACTAGGGCTACCCATAAAGCACAACTGCATAAAAGAAAACAGACTTCCACGAGTGATTATAAATGATTTTGTAGCAGTTCTGTCATACATCTCATCTTGGAAAAAAAAGACTGAAATATTTCAAAGGACTAGCCTGAGCAACATCCAGATTTCAGGTCAATTTTGGTTCATAATCGAGTATAAAGTCCCCGGAACCGTTTCTAATGGTCGTCAAATCACGTCTTTAGTGATTTAGCGGAGGTGTTAAATCCGTGTATCATTCGTTCATTTGTTTTTCAATATAAAACCAAAAATAAGAAAATGAAAAAAACAACAGTTTTTTAGACAGGTTTTGTCTCCAAAACCAAAATGAAAACTCAAATAATGACTAGTTTTCGATTTTGTGTTTAAATGAAGAATGGAAAAAATGGATAACGGCCGTTTCCTGTTTACGTGACTTTCGTGACTGCGATTCCGGACTTTTGCACCGCATACGGACTGAACCAGGACTGATCCAGGTCTGGGACTAGACCAGAACCAGACCGGGACTGAGACCGGGACCAGACCAAGACTGAGATCAGGACTGAGACTGGGACCAGACTGAGACTGAGACCAAGACCAGACCGGGACCAGACCGGGCCTGAGACCGGGACTGAGACCGGGACTGAGGACCAGGCTGGGACCAGGCAGGGACCAGCCTAGGACTGAGACCAGGACTGAGACTGTGACCAGGCCAGGACCAGACCAGGACCAGACCAGGGCTGAGACCAGGACTGAGACTGTGACCAGGCCGGGACCAGACCAGGACCAGACTGAGACCAGACCGGCGGCTCAGAGCCCAAGGCAGGGCAGGAGCTTGAAGCTGAGGCTCGGACGCTGTGGAGGAGTCAAAGCTCGGAGTCCACTCTGGTCCCGCTTTAGTCCCGCTCTGGTCCCGCTTTAGTCCCGCTCTGGTCCTGGTCTGGTCCTGAACCTGGATCAGTCTTGGTTCAGTCCATATGCAGGGCGAAAGTCCCATATCACAGTCACGGAAGTCATGTAAACAGGAAACGGCCGTTATCCGTTTTTTCCATTCTTCGTTTAAACACAAAATCGAAAACTGAAAAAACAAATCGTTATCCATTTTTTCATTTTGGTTTTGGAGACAAATAATGAAGAAAATAGTTGTTTTTTCATTTCCTTATTTTTGGTTTTATATCGAAAAACTATTGTGTCAAAACAGGTCATTAAGAACACAAGGGGGGTCGTCAAATGTCGTCTTCATGGGGCAAAGAGTTAAAATCATGAGACTGTTGTATTATTTTAGTTTTAGTCATTTTCAAACTCATGATTCTAGAAACCACACAAAGCTGCACTGTGTAACTTTTCTGGTGGAGAGTCCGTCAAATGCTGTTATCTGTTTTTTCTGGAATGTTTCACAGTGTGGTGTTAAACCTTTTTATCAAACCAGACCAAGTTACAGGTCAGATCTGTGAAGAGGCGACCCCGCTCACAGTTAGAATGCTTGTCTTTTTGAGCTTTGCGAGTTGCTAATTGCGTCCATTCAAATTGCAGTTTTGATTTGATTGTGATTAATCTTGCGGTCTGAATATGATGTTTGAGTTTTGACCCTTTGTAGCTTCTGTAATTTGAAGATTGGCAGGAAAAGTGCGCTGCTAATGGGACTACAAAAAAAACTCGTCCACTTTAAACTGTGCTTGCCTATTCACCTGAGCTCCCAAGGCCAAAAAACAGACAAGACAAACTGTACTTAGACCTAAAATTACAACAAAACAATTTTTTTTTCTTTTACTTTCTGTTGATGCACCAGAGGCACTTCTTTCCCCAAACACAGTCAAACAACACACACTTTGTATTTGTGGTAAAGCTCGCAGATGTGGTCAGGTTTGAATCTGTGTATCATCTGATCATTCATTTTTCAAAATAAAACCAAAAATAAAAAAAACGATGAAACGGATAACGGTCATTTCTCATTTTCTTGACTTAAACTGCGATGCCGGACTTTTGTGCTGCATAAGGACTGAACCAGGACTGAACCAGGACTCACACAGGACTAAAACAGGACTAAACCCGGACTGAGTGGCTGGACGGGCCCGGATGTGCGCCCGCGTAGACTGTCGGGTGATCAGGACTGAGACCAGGACCAGATTGGGACTGAGCCCAGGACTGAGATCAGGACCAGACCAGAATTAAGATCGGGACTGAGACTGCGACTGAGACTGGGACCAGACCAGGAAAAGACCAGAATTAAGATCGGGACTGAGACTGCGACTGAGACCGGGACCAGACCAGGACGGAGACCAGAACTGAGACTGGGATTGAGACCGGGACCAGACCAGGATCAGACCAGAACTAGACCAGAACTAAGATCGGGACTGAGACTGGGACTGAGACTGGGACCAGAGCAGAACTGAGACCAGAACAGAGACCAGCACTGAGACCAGGACCAGACTAGAACTAGACCAGAACTAAGATCGGGAGCAGACCCGGACCAGATCAGAACTGAGACTGGGACTGAGACCGAGACCAGACCAGAATGAAGATCAGGACTGAGACCGAGATTGAGACCGGGACTGAGACCAGGACCAGAGGAGAACTGAGACCAGAACTGAGACCAGGACTGAGACCGGTACCAGACCAGAACTGAGACTGGGACTGAGACCGGGAGCAGACCAGAACTGAAACTAGGACTGACTAGGACTGGTCCCGGAATCATTATCCATTATCCATTTTTTTTCATTTTCTTGTTTTTGGTTTTATTTTGAAAAACAAATGAACAAATGATCCACGGACTGGTTTGGATTAGGTTCAGATTTAGAGTTCGGTTTAGGAATGTCGCTGAATTTTAATATTTGTTGCAATTACATCTGCTGATTATGAAAAGAACCCCTTCCTTGGAAAATCCACCACGCAGCAGTAAGTTCACTTTGATTGACATAAAACGCTAAGCTCTGCCCCCGGACAAAATGCTGAGAATCTAGAGCGTCTCTGCTTCTAACTTGTTTGCTTCTCCTACTTCTCTCTATTGAGTTCGATAAGTTAAAGGCGCATTGTGTAACTTTTCTGATTGAGGGTCCGTCACATGCTTTTCTCCATGAAGATGTTATTGTTTTGTCTGGAATGTTTCACATTATGATATTAAACCTTTTTATCTTCATGGAGACCAAACCAGACCAAGTCACAGGTCAGATCTGTGGAGAGCAAGGATGTAACAATAACCAAAATATCGTGATATCGTATCGTCAAAAGTCTCATGATAATATCGTGGGCTGTCACAATAATATCGAATCACAAGTTCCTTTGGTTAAATGCAGGTTTTATAGCAGCAACAGCTTATGAACATCAGAAACTACATATCCCATGATTCATTTCAGCGCAGACAACATGAAGAAATATGTTTTTTACTTGAATTCTTGGGATTATGACGTAAATAATTCACACCAAAATCTTGTCAGGGTATTTTAAAAGCAAAAAATGTCCCATCTACAATAAATGTCGTCGAAAACAGACTCTTGTGAGCTTTAAAACATGTTGCTACTTCTCAAAAAACACACCTGGAGTTGTTTTGTTTCATTCACACATGTCTGAGTGATCTTTTATTATTTTGCCGGACATACACTGTGCGATATTTTCGATCGTTTCACTCAGCCTCGGCTCAAACTGTACGAGGAAATCACAGGGTTTGAAAAGTTCACAGCTTGTGGAACTACTTCACAAGAGGCAACTGGATTTGAAACAGGTCTGATATTCTTGCGACTAGGGATGGGCATGATTAGTCGATTAATCACTATTTGATCATTAAGAGTTTCATCGATTACCTAAATTTTAATCGACAAACCGAATGTAGGTTGCTGTGCGTAGCGTGACCAAACAGGGGTCCGTACATGTGTCTCTCTGCACTCAGAAGGAGCGAGCAAACACAGTCAGTCAGTCTGCAACGTACTGAAGTGCATATGCGTATTTAACGATGACTTGTACAAGAAATTCCACGCTTTCCGTTGCGTTCGGGACAAGTGTGAGTCCATGTGCACAGTGTATAAAGCAGCACATATGTTTCGGTGTCCAGTGGGAAAAAGTTTTGCCAGGTGAGAGTCGCGCAATGTCGATGACGAGTCCCCACCTCCCTCCCCCCGTACGGTGTCCTGGTTTTGACAAACGCAAATATGGTCACACTAACCTGTATTCCACTGAGTCATGTCTTTTAATCCTACAGAAGTTGAC